GGCTCGTGAGTTCAAAGCCAGCCTGAGAAACTTAACCCTGTCTCAAAACAAAAAGGGCTGGGGATGTGGCTCAGTGGTTAAGTGCTCTGGATTCAATCCCCAGTAAACCCCCCCCCCCACCAAAAAGATCCTAAAACTTTCGAAGAACTCCATTTAGATACTAAGCCGACCCTCATTACCTTTGGGAAAGGTGCTCAGCCACAGATTAAGCACCTTGAGCAGCAGCACACTAAGGCAGACTAGCATGGGCCTCCAACAAACTTCTATCACTGGAACTATTGTGGGAAGGGTTTGGAAATCAGGAGAAAAATTGCTTCCAGTCTTCTCCCTTGGCCGGAAAGCAACAATCCTACCAAAACCGTTATCACACTTCTCACAAAGTAATCTCCCCTTTCGCTATGTGTCCTTTATCTCTTGTTCTGTCCCAATTTTGAAAACCAGACCCCACACACATATTATATACAAACATGCAATGAATGCGTAAGGCAATTCCTAGCCAATCAAATAAACAATTATGGGATCCTATCTTTCTCTTATCAAAATTACTCAAATACATCCACCTATATAAGAACAACTGTATGAAGTAGTGAACAAGTCAACAAATATTTCTTGAACCACTTCTATATCTACAGTCTCACTCCCTGGACTGGAACCTAGGTAAACAAGGGGACAATCCACGTCTTCACATTAARCTTACAGACCTTTTCATGAGGGGTGGGTGGAGGCAGCATGCAGACAGGGACAACACATTCAACCAACTACTGTGTATTTGATAAATTTTATCTAATTTCTACATGTTGTAACAAGTGGGGGGAGGAGGCATTTTGCTTGAAGAATTAAGAACCCTTGGAAAGAGAAGGTGACATTTAAGGAAGACCCAGAAGCTGTGCACAAGTATCTTTGGGCTGGGATCCGGAGATGGATGCAGGATTATACTCAGCAGAACCCTGTACCACAGAGAGGTGTCAGGATGTGTCAAGACCATGCCCAAGACAATGACACAGGACACAATCTAAGAAACAAGAGGCCAAGGTAGCCTGTGTCTTCAGCTATGAGGGAGAGTGACAGGGGCTGAGGGTTGAGGGAGTCACTTGGAATGCTATAACAAAAATAACATTTGCAGCTGGGACTGCAGCTCAGGTGATAGAAACCATGCTTAGAACGTGCAGGGCCCAAGCTGAGGCTCGGTGGCACACACCTGTAATCCCAGCAGCTCAGGAGGCTGAGGCAGGATGATCACAAGTTCAAAGCCACTCTCAGCAACAGTGAGGTGCTAAGCAACTCAGTGAGACCCTGTCTCTAAATAAAATACAAAATAAGGCTGGGGATGTGGTTCAATAGTAGAGTGCACCTGAGTTCAATCCCCAGTACCCTCCCCATCCAAAAAAAAAAAAAAAGAATGTTCAGGGACCTGCACCATGTCAAAAAATAATGTTTTTACTTCTACCAAATATACAAAATGCTACTTGGTCCAAAGGTGAATTACAAAAAAAAAAAAAAAATTAAATTAAATATGGAAGAGAGGAATGGGAGTTAAGAAAATCACAGAATAACAAATTTAAGTACACAGCTGAGTCTAACTCTAGCTTAAGAGATATCATGAAGGGGCTGGGGTTGTGGCTCAGTGGTAGAGCGGTAGGCCCTGGATTCAATCCTCAGCAACACATAATAATGAATTAATTAAAGATATTGTATCCGGCTACAACTAAAAAATAAATATAAAAAAAGAGATACCATGAATAAGGTCTACCAAACAAACAAAAGTCACTTAATAATAGAAATATCTATAGGAATTACTGAAATAGCCATTAAGGTGAATCATTTTCTAAGCCTAAAAGGGATTTCTATGCCAATTATTCAATTAACGGAGTTTCAGAGCTAAGGACTGACACCTTTTCCTTATATAAGACAAAACTGGGAAAATTGAATTGCACAGAAATTCCATTTGAAATTCAAGTTAAGAGAACACATACTGAAAACATTTCAAGACAATACCTTCTAGTTATCGGACAGAGTTCATTCGATTTCTGTACAGTTTATCAGGCGAACCAAAATCCATCCCCACAGAGCACTAACTAAACTGCAATAACAAACTGACATGGCATGTGGTCAGACAAGCAGCACTGTCACCTATTAACTAGCAAATATCTTGCTACTAAGAGAAGCTCCTCCATTACACTTGCCATCTGAGAGATGAAGGGACTTACACAAGGTAATGGACAGATCAAAACACTTATTTTGGCAACAAATGCAGATTATTCTCTGAACCAGCATTTACTGATGCTCTGTAATAATGTTATTTAATTGATGATGGGCTCACTGCCAACATGCAAAATAACTGTCCTCTTATATTTGATGAAATGTAACTTTATTATGACAAACCTACATAAGCACCCAAGGCACATAAAGTTTCTTGAAAAATATTATCCCCAGAACCACACACACAAAAAAATAATAATAAAGAAAAAAATCTCAAATACAAATAGCACAGTTTCTTTAACTCTTTGCAGAAAGTTCCGGTCACTGTATCAACCACTGTAACTATAGCTAACATGCCAGCCACTAGTCATCAGCAGACACCTGGTCCAGTGTCTGGTGTGGTGTGAGCAAATGGCTGGTCTGGAGAAAAGCATCTGAGTGCAATGCAAGTCAGAAGGCTGACCAAGAGCTACAAATGAGGAACTAAAAACTAGGTGACACCTTTTAAGGTGTAAATTCTGGTAAATTCTGTCATGTGTATTTTACCACAGTCAAAAATAAAAAAGTCTCAAGAAAAAAATTTCTGAAAGTTTCAAGCTTGGGCAAATTTAACAGTATCCTTAGAGTAGCTTTTCAACAAACTGGAGGCATGCACAAAGAACAGTGCAAAATGTCATAGCAACTTGGCCTTTGTTCCTCCTTCCCATCCCACTCCATTCAGGATGGCCAGCCTATCACAGGAGACCCAGCTCTTAAGCATGAAACTACGGAAAGAGGAGAACAACAGCTGAATGAGAGTGGGGGAGGAAATGCCAGCTATATGGAGATCCAAGTCAAGGGTCACAATAGAAGTTGAGCAAAATATCTTTCCTTTTGTTTTTAATTACATTTGCAAAGTAATATCAAAATAGTTGTCAAATCATTTTCCAAGTCACAAACAGAACTCTAGGTTTTCAGGGCAGTCAAAATCAAAGCCCCAGAGAGACTAAGTAACAGTCTCAGGGTCTCTGATGTAGAATCATCCAAGTTATGCCATTGACTGGTTTTGCAAGAACCAAAAATAGTAACCGTTTCAATGCACTTTTTCCACAGCAATATCATCTTACACGTTTTGCCAAATAATGTCCCATCATACCCCGACAAAAAAGCACCAAAAGAGCCTGTTTCAGCTCAACAACTCTGCATTTACTCAGCTGAAGAGTTGAGGACACTGCTCAAATAGCCAGAGAAAACTCTTACCAAATAAGAAGTCCCAAAGTCTGATTCTCCACGAAAATTTCTGTAATACCACTCTGTTTTTGCAAGCGAATATAAAATGCCTGGCTGGCGGAAACCGTGAAACATAAGCACGTTACAACTTAATTGTTAGGAAGAAAACAGTTTTGAAAGTATGGGGCCCTCCTCCAACAAGTCTAGCCTTCTTCCCAAGCCGGTACACAAGGCTAACTTTCCAAAAACACAGCAGAAACGGAAAGCCTCAGAGGGGCACCAGGTAGAGGGCAGGCCTCAAGAAAAAATCAAGACTCGCTACAAAACGACAGATTCAAGACTGAACGCACAATTCCTCAGTGAAAGGGGACTGGATCCATGTGGCAGGGCCAACCCTGCACAGACACACACAGTGCTACCGCCCTGCCAGGGGATGATGAAATGAGGAACGGAAATTAACATTTCAGGCAACGTCTCACATTGTTCCTTGAGGCCAAGGGCTGCTGCTGCTGCTGCTGCTGCTGCTGCTGCTGCTGCTGCTGCTGCTGCTGCAGCCGCCGCCGCCGCCGCCTTCCTCCCACTCGGCCCCAGTCCCGCCTCCCCTCCCCCGAACACCCCCTGCCGCCCCGCATTCCTGCCCCCGCCCGGCCGCGCGCCTCCCGCACCCCGCCGCCCCCTCCGGCTCGGCGCGCAGCCCGAGGGCCGCCTGCTCCCATTTCAAAACACGATAATAATAGGGACGCTGGGAATAACAACCGCGGCCGGGGCCGGGGCGCCCCTCCCGCGGGTCAGAGGTCGGCGCCCCGCGCCCGCCCTGGCACCCACAGCTTCCGCGCGACCCCGGGACCCCCAGGCCCGCCCCGGAGCCCACGCTCGCCCTGACGAGGTCCTGGGGACCCCCAAGAGCGCCTCCAGCCCATCCTCACCCGTATGAGGTCCTGGGGACCCCCAGGCGCGCCCCGGTGCCCACCGTGCCCCTCACGGCGACCCCGGAACCCCAGGCCCGCCCCGGAGACCACGCTCTCCCTGAAGAGGTCCACGAGACCCGCCGGCCGGCGGCGGAGCCCACCCTGGCCCTCACTGCGGCCCCGGGACCCTCAGACCCGCCCGGAGCACACGCTCGCCCTTACAAGGTCTTCGGAACCACCAGGCCCGCCCGCAGCCCACCCTGGCCCTCACCGCCACCCCGAACAGGGACCCCAGGGCGCCCGAGGCCCAACCTCGGCCCTGCGGGGCCCCAGGCCCCCGGCCCGCCCGCGCTGTCCGCCGGAGGAGGAGGCCTGCAGGCCGCAAGGCCGCGGGAACGCTCGAAGTCCGCCCGACCACCGCCCCCAGGCCCGCGGCGCCTCTCACCCGGCTCCGACGGCGGCGCGGCTCGGCGGCGGCTCGGCGGCGGGGCGCGGGCGCGGCCCATGCAGCCCGCGGCCGCGATTCCCGGGCCGCGCGGCCCGGGCGGGAAGGCGGCGGCGGCGCGGGATCCGGCTGCAGTGAATGCGCGGCGGAGGGAAACGAGCGCGCCCTCGGCGCGCCCAGGCTCGCGCGGGGCCGCGGCGCTCGCGCGGGCGCTACTGCGGGGGCGTTTGGCCGCGGACCTGGCGGCGGCGCCTCCCCGGCTGGGGCCCTCGGTCCATCGCGCTCGGTATCGGGCGGCCTCTGGCTCCAGGACCCAGCGGCGGCTGCGGCGGGCGCCGGCCGCATGAGACGCTCCCGCCCATTGGCCCGCCGTATCCGCCACCGCCATTGGCCCGCCCCGCCGGACGGCAGGGGCTTCGCACGTCACGGCGTCGAGGCGGAAGTGCGCTGTTGGGGTGAAGGGGCGACTGCGACCTGACGGCTTCCGTGACAGGCCTGAGGCGGGACTAGGAGGACGTCCCGGGAACGATTGGCCAAGGTCGTGAGCCCGGACGCTTGGGCGGGGCGGGGGAGGGACAGCGGACAATCGGATTGGCTGCCTGCGTCGCAAGGGGGTGGTCCTCCGCTCTCGGGCACGACAATTGGCCCTACGAAGTGCCGGAAGCCACGGGGTCGTGGTCTCGGGACCACACTGCTCGGCTCGCGGAGCCCGTCGCGGCCAGTCTGCCCAGCTCCAGAAAGGGGAGTCCCCGCTCCCGCCCGAGGCGTCGGGCGTCGGCTGGCGAGCGGCCGCTGGTCGTCCGCGGCTTCGGAGAGCGCTTCCCGCCGACGGCCACAGGAGCAGTCAGCCAAACGCGTGCCTCCTGCCGCGCGCGAGCGGCGCTCGTCGTGAGCGTGCCCTGGGAAAGGCCGAGGGCCGCGGCCGCGAAGCCGGGAGGGTGCTGCCGAAGGCTCGCCCAGGCTTTCGCGTTTGCCGAGGTGGAAGTCAGATGGTCATCTACGAAGTGGTGATTCGGGAGGCAGACTCCAGCTAGAATTAAAAGTGGCCAAGCCTCCTGTTTAAATGCACTTCTATACTTGTTAGGAACTAAGCSGAAAAGGTAGGTAACCAAAATCGAATCGGTGTCACTCTGATTTTCTCTCATACGTAGGACTGAATCCAGGGGCGCTGTACCACTGGGCTACACCGCCCCCCTTTTTATATATTGATACAGGGCTTCGCTACTTTGCCCCGCTGGCCTCGAATTTCGAGATCCTGCCTCAGCCTCCCAAGTCGCTGGCACCTGAGGCCTGTTGCACCACGCCCTACTGCTGCTTTTTTTTTTTTTTTAACTGGGTTCTAAACAGGGTAACCAGGGTATTTACAGGGTTCATATGGAATTATAAAACCAAACTGGATGGACCTTAAAGATGATCTTTTATGCAAGCCGAACTACTCCTGTTCCAATCCTAGCCCTGCGGTTGACTGGCTGTAACCCTGGGCAGTTTATCTTTCAGACCGTCACTTTCTCATGGGTAAAATGGGAATAGAAAGAGGCTGAGGTTGTGGCTCAGTGGCAGAGCGCTTGCCTAGCAATGTGTGAGGCACTGGGTTCAATCCTCAGCACCACATGTAAATGAATAAAATAAAGGTCCATTGACAACTAAAAAATATTTTTTAAAAATGGGAACAGCAAGTAGCACCTGTTGGCCAGTGTCATGAAGATTAGGCCTTGAGGATGCTAACCCCCAGGAAAGTGCCTGGGATGCTTCCCTATCTATGGAAGCACCGAGTCGGGGGAGTAAAGGGCTTCAGACTCTTCAGAGGCAGCCAGGTCTTTATTTCAGTTACAGCCAGGAACTTCATGGGGTCAGAAGTGGACACCTGATAAAAACAGCCAGCCCTCAGGCTGAGGAGCACTCATGAAGAGATGATCCAAGGGTTCCCGTATCSGCCTCGCTGTAAGGCTTGCCTGGTAAAAACTGTGGAATTCAGGGTCCCGGGCCCCAGCTTCACCTACAGGGTCAGCCTGGATGAAAGAGAACTAGAAGCTGCAATTTCTAATTTCTTCCCWGACAACACATTCATTCTTTGGATAAACTTGAAAAAAACACTGATGTAATCCAATCAATATTCTTTCTAGGGTATTTAAATATGAAATGTGAATAAACTGGGAATTTGCCGCAGAAACTGAATCTGAAAATATGCAAACTGAAATTTTCCACAGAAAGAAGTAAAAACTGTGAAGAAATAAAATGCAAACTAAAAGGAAAGAATTAAGCTGTTTAATGCATTAATTAAAACAATGATGTGGACCATATCAAACTTCTTCAAAGAGAAACAGAATAGGCATAATCTCTACCAGCATGTGGTTGATTGGCATGGGAAGTGCATGTTTGGCAAATAAAACGAGTACAGCTGTGGTCCAAATGTTTTGTAACTCCAAAATCCATATGTTGAAGCATAATTGCAGGGTGATGTATTCAAAGGGCCTTTTGAGAGGTGATCAGGTCATGAGGGCAGAGCTCTCTCCAATGACATTAGTGCCGTTAAAAATGAGTCCTGAGCCAGGCACATGGCCCAATCCTATAATCCCAAGAGGCTGAGACAGGAGGATCACGGGTTCAAAGCCAGCCTCAACATTTTAGCAAAGCACTAAAAGTGACTCTGTGAGACCCTGTCTCTAAAAATACAAAAGAGAGCTGGGGGTGTGGCCCAGTGGTTGAGTGCCTCTGAGTTTAATCCCTGTTACCACCACCACCCCAAAAAAAGAGTTCTGGGCCTGGGGTTTTTGGCCAGTGGTAGAGTGCTTGCCTACCATGTGTGAGGCATATATTTTTCTTTCTTTTTTTTTTTTTAAGAGGTGAGAGAGAATTTTTAATATTTATTTTTTAGTTTTCGGCTAACACAACATCTTTGTTTGTATGTGGTGCTGAGGATCGAACCCGGGCCGCACGCATGCCAGGCGAGCGCGCTACCGCTTGAGCCACATCCCCAGCCCTATATTTTTCTTTTTTAAAAATGAGTTCTGGATGGGGCTGTGGCTCAGTGGTAGAGCGCTTGCCTAGCATGTGTTAGGCACTGGGTTCAATTCTCAGCATCACATATAAAAAAAAATAAAGGTACGTTGACAACTAAAAATATATATATATATTTAAAAAAATGAGTTCTATTAGTTATAGTGTCCCACCTCTGTAATTCCAGTGGCTCAGGAGGCTGAGGCTAGAGGATTGTGAGTTGAAAGCCAGTCTCAGCAATTTAGCAAGGCCTTAAACAACYTTCACCCAGTTGCAAAATTGAAATATATGTGTGTGTATACATACATACATATATATGAAAAGGGCTGGGATGTGGCTCAATAGTTTCCCAGAAAAATAAAGAGTCCTGAGCCAGGCATGGTGGGCCCATGCCTATAATTCCAGTGGCTCTGGACAATAAGGCAGGAGGATCACAAGTCCAAAGTCAGCCTCAGCAATTTAGTGAGACCCTAACTCAAAATTTGAAAAAAAGAAATGGAGATGTGACTCCGATTAAGCAACCCTGTGTTCAAAAAAGACCTGGCACAGTGGTGCACACCTGTAATCTCAGTGACTTGGGAGACTGAGACAGGAGGACCATGAATTCAAAGCCAGCCTCAGCAATTAGCGAAGCCCTAAGTAACTCAGACCCTGTCTTTACAAAAAAGAGCTGGAAATGTGGCTCAGTGGTTAAGTGCCCCTTCATGCAATCCTTGGTACCAAAGGGGGGAAAATAAGACTGAGATCAAAGAATAAAACACTGTAAAATATCTCAAGTAAATTTTTAAAATTTATTACATGTTGAAATAATATACTTCAAATGCATTACATTGAATAAAACATACTGTTTGGTTCCTTTTCCTTTTAGTCATAGCCTCTAAGAAATTTTTTCCCCCATTTGGTATCAGGGATTGAACCCAAGGGCACTTAATCACTGGGCCACATCCCCAGCCGATTTAATTTTTTGAGACAGGGTTTCACTAAGTTGCTTAGGACCTTCCAACATTGCTGAGGCTGGCTTTCAACTTGCAATCCTCCTGTCTCAGCCTCCCGAGCTCCTGGGATTACAGGTGTGTGCCACTGTGCCTGGCTACTGTGAAAGCTTCAGTTTACACATGGTTCCCATTCTGTTCTGCTGATCAGCCCAGGCAGAGGTCCTTTGGTGGGGAGAAGCACACTTTCTTTCAACAAAGTGCCTACTGTGTGCCTAACTCCATCCTACAAACTATTAATAAAGTGTAAAAGGACCAGGTACAGTGCCATAGAGCTGTGATCACAGGACTCAGGAAACTGAGGCTGGAGGATAGCAAGTTCCAGGCCAGTCTGGGACTTAACAAGGCCCTAAGCAACTTAGCGAGACCCTGTCTCAAAAAATAAAAGGGCTGGGGATGTGGTTCAGTGGTAAAGTGCCCCTGGGTTCAATCTCAAATACCAAAAAGCCAAGCATGGTTGTATATACCTGTAATCCCAGCAACTCAGGAGGCTGAAGCAGGAGGATCGAAAATTAAAGACTAGCTTCAGCAATTTAACAAGACCCTATCTCAAAGTTGAAAAGGGTTGGGTGGCTGGAGATGTAGCTCAGTTTTAGGGTGCTTGGCTAGCATGCACAAGACTCTAGATTCAATCCCCAGCATCAAAAAAAGGGGGGTGCAAAAAGGACCCTGATACATGACCCATCCCTGTAATCCCAGCAACTCGAAAGGCTAAATTTCAGAGGATCAAAAGTTTGAGGCCAGCCTGGGCATTTTAGTGAGACCCTGTCTCAAAAATAAAGGGGCTGGAAATGTAGTTCAATGGTAGAGTGCCTCTGGGTTCAATCCTCAGTAACAGGAAAAGAAGAAAATGGGCTGCATTATAAACTCTAGTAAARTACCCCTGGATTCAAATCTCCAGACCAAAAAAATAAAAAATAAGATTTCTGCCTGTAAATCCAAAATGTCCAACAGCTACCTGTATGGGTAACACATGAATACGGGACACTGGGGAACAGCAGCAAAAAATGCTGGCAGCCAGCCAAGCCAGGCAGACCCAGCACAGCCCGAGGAGCATGGGAATGATTTCTGGACTGGATCAGAAGGTGCCAATGAAGGGTTTCACTCTGGCATGCATAGGGTCATATTTCCACTTTAAAACATCACCCCTGGGCTGGGGTTGTGGCTCAGTGGTAGAACGCTTGCCTAGCACAGGTGAGGCGCTGGGTTCCATCCTCAGCACCACATAAAAATAAATAAATAAAATAAAGGTAAAAGAAAAAAGATGCGGGCATTGCCTTTAAAAATAAATAAATAAATGGAACATCACCCCTGT